TGAGGATTAGAAAAAGACCATGATCAGACCAACGAGGTCTAGAAAACTTTATAAATTGAAGAATAGCACCTGAGCAGGCTAGATTTGCGAACGGCAGAGGTACTAGAGAACAAATCCTTAATGTAAAAAACGTCATAGAAAAAATCAGAGAATATCAGATCCCGATATTTATATTTTTGGTTGACTATACAAAGGCATTTGATAATGTTATATGGGACTAGCTATGGAACATACTAACGACAATGGGTGTACCCAAATACTTGACTCACCTTATTAACAAACTATATCAATATAACCTGGCGTATATTCAAATGGACGGATGCCTGTCTGACGAATGCAGTTTGAAGAAGTGGGTACGACGCCAAGAATGCGCTTTATCTTCCTTAATATTTAAGTGTACAGAGTTTACAATGAGAAGAGTTTTGGATGGTTGGGAGGAAGGAGTAAACCTAGGCGGGGCTAAGATATCTAACTTACGTTTCGCAGACGACGCTACACTTCTAGCCTCTACTTCAGAAGAAATTACCAACTTATTAAAAAAACTCGAGGTAAAAAGTGCTAAATGTAAACTCATGGTTTACTACAATCTACTACAAAATCAAAATTATGGTTATTGATTACCAACCAGGGGCGGCTCGTGATAGTACAAGCTGGTGAGGCACACTACACTTAAGGAAAATTATTATAATTATGGTTAGCTTCTCTTTGCTCCAGTCATACCCGGCTAAGGAGGCATTGCTCGCGTCAGCAAACAATGACTTGGCGTGAGAAGGACTTCTGACGATACGCGCGCGGATCAACAAAAGTCATCCTCACCTCAAAGCTCTCCTAAGCCCTCCTCCACCCTCCCTTATGTGCACTGAAGGTGCAACATAAGGGCTGACTGCTTTTTGAAAAAGTCCGCGATTGAGCTGTATTTATGAGCACCATGTGTAATAGGGTGCTCATAAATGTAACTTAAATCATACCCAAGGTGTCGTTAAGCGACTTACTCCCGTTTATCATGAAATCTCATATCGTGAGATAAAAGCGAACGAAAAACGAGGGAGCTGTAATCCTTGAACCTGCACCTTGGTTAGCGGCCAAGTTGTAGCCTCAAGGATCTAGGTGGCCTCTCCCGTGGCCTTTTTGTATTTTTATAATTTTTTTGTGAATTTTTTATTATTCTATATATTTTTTTGAATTTATATATTTTTTATTAATTTTTTTGGGATTTTTATATTTTTTTGGGGGTTAGTAGGTATTTTTTATCTGGGAGATTTGTTAGTAAGTGTTATAAATGGCGACTGCTAATCTAGTGCCATCCTCTTCACGATCAAATTTGGTAGATAAAAATTCAAATAAATCTTGAGCAGAACGCCCGGAACTTACATCGTAAAATCCTATGAATCGTTCGACTGGTTTATTGTTTATTACGTAACGAAAAATAACGGATAGTTGTGAATGACAGCTTATATCAGTAGTCTCATCCACCTGCCAGGAAAAGAATAATGATTTTGAAATTTCTTCCTCAATTTTTTTATTTATAACAAAAGCAATTGAATCGATTAATTCATTTTGTATGGTTTTAGATGTCCCAGAAAAAACTGATCTAGAGTCATTATCATGTTCTAAAAATGTTTTTAAATTAGTGTCAAATTTACTAACAAGAACAACTAGCTCTTTGAAATTCCCGCAATTTAAAGATTCATTAGATTCATCATGCCCCCTAAACGGTAACTCTTGCATACAGAGGTGTGACGTAATATCTGTAAGGCTTTTTAAAATTTGCCGATTTTCTTTAACCCTAGCATTGAAATTTTCAATATCTATTTTACGCGAATTGTCTAGTGCTGTAGCGATATTTTGCTTTTGTTTTCTCATAAGAGTAAGCTTGCAATTCGATGTAATATGTTGAGAACTTTTATTGTGTAACAATAGACTCCGAGACAAATTTTTCAAATCAGTATAACCATTTTTGAACCAAACTTTGTCGCTAGTATTAGCTGTGGCAAATAAAATGCATGGCCAACAAAACAATTTATTTAATGTTATACTACCCGTAAGCCAGTCAAACTTTTCGTACCATGCATTTTGAAATCCCTGATTTGGTTTTCCGACGCCACCGATAGAAACAAGATGTTTACTTAAATCTGGAATAGGTCGGTTTACTACTTTAACTATATATAATTTATCTTCATATGAATGACTTAAAAAATTCTGCTGTTTGACTAAAAAATTTACGAGATTACAAGTATTACGAATATTTACATTTACCTGGGAAAGTTGTGACGAAGTGCTCGGTGATAAATCCATTTTTCACTAAAACCGAAAATCCTGCAGACAAAAACAAACCCACCAAAATTATTAAAAAAACTTAATTAGATTTGCACTTATTATATAACATGTAATCTTACTGTTTTTTTAATGAAAAACAACACGAGATACGTCAAACGTGATCCTGCCGCACCAACAGGTCAACAGGAAGTAATTTAACTACTACTTACTACAACAATTTTGCAGAAATGTTCCAAAATATACCAAAGTTGCTAATCTGGTAAATGCATAGAAAAAAAATATTGTTTGTTAAATCGGAAAACAATAGAACAATATGTATAGTACCATCTACTAAAGGAAAATACTCCAATGTTGTTACAATTTTCAAATAAAAATCTATGTTTTATTTAAAATGTACTTTTATACCCCGAGGGAAAAAATGTAGCGAATTGGGTACCTTTGTACCAAAACGGCAACGCTGCTAATTAAAAGAACTACACCAAACCAGAGAGGCTTGCCTCTCCTGTTCGGTGAAATAGTGGGCAGAAAATAAATAAATCATGTTGAATTTCGCTACATAATGTGATGTGTAATATGCTAGACAGAGCAATGCCGTGAGGCTTGCCTCGGCTATAATTTTTAAAGAGAGAATAAGATGCACAGATGATAGGCGCCGTTGTTTATTTAATATTTTGTGGTTTAAGGTTGTCCGGCCCGTAGATTATGAAGAAATATACAAAGATAAGACATCAGGGCTGTACCTATTTTAATTTTTTATCATAATGAAAATAAAGTTATTTAGAAAATTCCAAAAAGTTAAATTGTAGTTAAAGAACGTAATTAGTCGATTAATACTGGTGAGGCACTGCCTCACCTGCCTCATAGGACCAGCCGCCCCTGTTACCAACAGCAAATTCCTGAAACCGGAACTATTGCGGGGTGCGAGATAGTCTCCTGTATGATATATTTTGGAGCAGCAATGACTGAACTAATCGTGGCATTGCGTGATCGTCACATTACTATGAAAAACAAGAAGAAACTCGTTTTATCTCTAGTCCATTCCATATTTTACTATACATGTGAGACATGTAAAGTCAAAGACGATGCACAGACGCTTCTGAAATGTATACATGGAGACAACTGTTTCGAATTCCATGACCAACTTGCCGCACGCATGTCTCGGTTCTAGATGAAATTAATCCTAGTTAACGTATCTCTATCGTCAACTATTTTAAAGTTCTTTGGTGATATCCATCGAATCGATCACAAAATGGAGCGGTTGGTGGTCCCAGGAAGGCTTTAGAAAAACATTGCGAAAAAGCTTCTCAGCAAACAGTATACTGAGGCAGCACGTATACAATAAGTATATCGCTTTATTTGCACCCAATTATTACTGCTACCAATATTTGTTTCGCTTTACCACTACATTACATTTACCATACCGATTCACACTAAATCGCATCAAAATTCATCACGGCATGACTGCGGAGTGAGTCGAATCATCACACACAAAATAGACGCGTGCAATGGCTATGTTTTTTGTTTTAAAACTATATATCGGTCGTCCTGTAAGCAGCTGGCAAATTGTACACCTTACATTCCTACACCCGACCCTTCTGCAAGTTTAAACCTGTCTGTGTGTCAGGTATAACTCCGCTTTAAGGCGCATATCAGCGCGTCTGGCTATTAGCGTAGTTACCGATCTCTTAGTTATTCATTCGATCTGCTGATTCCAAGTAAGCTTTGAGTCTAACATTACCCCAATGCTTTTAAATTTCATTTCATTCGTAACTACAGTCAGAACCTGTTGCATTATATTTCTGACTTATAATTTAAAGTTGCTCTTAGCTAAAATGACCAGGTAATCCACATATTCCAGAAGATGATGATGCTCTCGTTCCTATCATTCAGTAACATTGCGTCTATCACATGGCTTCTTAGCATGTAGTCTATCGATCTTTAGCTCGATTCGTCTATTTCTTTTAGACGAATCGTTTTTTTGATTTCTCTGTAGGTGTTGTCGAATGCTCTGTCTATATCGAAAACTGAAACCTGCATCACCTGCGGGTTTTCCTCAGAACGAACTCACCGTCTGTACGAGATGGTACTGGTCCGTTTCCGTATAAAATCCTGCTGTATCAGCACACTTGCCTGATGTATTAGCCGTTCAACCAACACATCATCCGTAGTCTGCCTAGTGAGTAGTTTTTCTAGAGACTTCGGTACAAAGGGCATTAGACTGATCAGCCTCAGGGACTTAGCTTTTTCCTGTCCGATTTTACAAGGCTTGGGAATAAGAGCTACCTTTATGAGCCTCCATGCTTTTGGTATGTAGCCGAGTCCTAAGCTAGCCTTTATTATCACACATAATTGTTTGTATAGAAGGTCATTTCCCTTGTAGAGAAGTATTTTATAAATCCTGTCCGAACGTGGCGATTTAAACGGATTAAATAAGTTTATTGTCCATTGGATTTTTTATCCTGATTCCGCGGCTATTTTGCCACACGCCAGTTTTCCCCAGACGTCATGTTTCTAGTGGTATTCCCAGATATCATAGTAGTCAGTCCATAAGATTTTCTGCTTGCGACGGTAAAGTTGATAAATTATGTAGCTATCATTGATGGTTCGTATATCTTATGTAGAATGAATGTTATTTTATTGTGTTATACCAACGCTAAATAAAAAGTAAATCTCGAAAATAAAAATGACACATATAGTTCTAAATGACATCTTTTATTTTTAGGTGCCAGAGAACAGATTACCAGGTTTTACTGTCACCACAGTAAACGCAACCGACGAAGACATGGGCGAGTTTGGAATAATTTCGTACAATATCCACTCTCCTCTTCTTAGCGAGACCTTCTCCATTGAGAAATCTTCTGGAAAAATAACAACAAAAACCAAACTAGATAGAGAAAAACACAAAATGTACGAAATTCTAGTCAGTGCTACAGACGGAGGTGGACTCTCGGATTTCATGACAGTGAGAGTAAAAGTTGGAGACGAAAATGACAACACTCCAAAATTTTTGGTCAAAGAGTACAAAGTGAGCATTCACTCTAACTTAACCACTAGTAGCAGCTTCGCTAAAATAAAAGCAGTCGATGATGATGAAGGAATTAACGCCGAATTAGTATATACCATATATGAGAAGAAGCAGTCTGAAGTTGGGAGCATTTTTGCCATTAATCACATTACTGGAGAGTTGTATCTACTAAAGAATGTCTACAACTCTGGTAAGTACTTTTTGGAATCTTTTCATGAGTCTGAAAATGTTCGAACATAGTAAAAAAAAAATTTGCTTCATATACTGTAATAATAACAAAATATTTTTTTCAGTTGGCAAAACTTTCCAGTTTTTCGTTAAAGCTAGCGACCGTGGACGACAAGAAAAACATGCGGAAGTTCCTGTAAGTGTTCTCATAATGGGACCAAAGGACTTCCCTCCGATATTCGAACGAGATGTGGGAAAGTTCTTCCTTTCTGAAAATTCAGCCACAGGTAAGAAAAAGTACGCCTATTAGTAATTGTGCAGTTTGTCTTTACCTATGTATTTTTAGGTACCGTTATTACACGATTAAAGATGGTTTCTAACATCTCCGTTAATTTCCAAATAATATCAGACACGGAGGATGATCCGCAATTCTCAATAGATTCCCAAGGGCAGATTTCTTTGTCCAAACCGTTAAATTTCGAGATGCAGAGTTCTCATTTTATCGGAGTTTTAGCACTAACCGATTCTAGTCCACCTTTGGTAGCATTCGCAGAAATAATGCTGCAAGTCCAAGACGAAAATGATCACGCCCCACAATTCGAAACTTCGTTGTACCATTTGAACTTGGCCGAGAATGTTGAAGAAGGAAGATCTGTTTTAAGAGGTAAGTACACATGTGCATATGTGCATCTCATAATTATTTGCATGTTTCTTTTGGTTATTCATTTCTTAAAATATTGGTGGATCTTCATTTTGCAGTTGTAAAAACTCTTTTAAACACAAGGTTATAATGATTACAACAAAAATACCAGTCCAATGGAGGTCGTGAAAAAAATCGTAATTGAGACATGTTATAAAATTAAATGTTTTGTTTTGTTTATTTCTGACACCTACTTTTTAAAAGATGGAATAGTTCCGCAACGAGGATTTTTGGATCATTACCATTTCAGAGAGATAAAACCAAACCTCATCTTAGAAAATCTGTCTTAAGGATATATTTTTTAGTCTGAAAAGATTTTGTACTGGCATTACATCAACATTGTAAAAAATCATTGTAGTCAAACACTCATTCAGTATGTACTTCATTACAATCAATCATGTATTCTAGGATTAAATACCAGAGTATTTACTTTCACCTCTGTAAACTAGTGTCATTCGATAAGGTTTGCAGTTTGCGCTACGTGATAAATTCAGCGAACATTCAATTTCAATGTACAGGTTAAAATTATACTGTTTTAAATGGTGAAAGTTGCAACAAAACATTTTTGAAAATGCAACCAAACTAAGATGTTTGTTGAAAATTCATGAAGATGTTTGTAACACATTTTACGAAACATAATGCAAATTTATGTATGAGATACTTAATTTTTGTTAAACTATTTTAATTAGTTACCTAATTCATTATTGAAGAAGATTTGGATTCTATTAACAATATATTACCTTATTTTGTATTTTTTTGGATCATATTACAGTGATATCATATCCAACACATTTTGATATTTTTGGAAAATAAATGTATTGATTTCATCAGTATTTTTCCAATTTGTATAATTGCAATCTTTATAAGTTCCTTATGCAAACATGTTAGTTGCAAACGCAAACATCAATACTGCGTCCTTTAATGATCGATAATTTATACTCACAAAATGCATAAGAACTACTAGACAACTCAAACAAACCTCAACGCTTGTTAGTGTAATGATGATTGCCTACATTGGTAGTGGGATAAAAATTTAAATTTAATGATGTTGATTATTTAATAACAAAAAGATTAAAGAATTTGTTGAAAAAATGAGTTGTACCTACATAAACAAGTTATTTTTTAAATAAAACTTGAAAACTAGTCGAAATAAAAATCAAGCTTTGGTGGGAAATTATGTTATATGTTGGCCTCCCTTTAAATATTATTAAAAAGTCGCGTTTATAAATAAAATTAAAATTTTTCAATTAAACTACAGTTAAATTAAAATTTACGAAATACTAATAAAAAACATTTAAATATAAAAGAAATAAACAGCAAAGAGCTAGAAATGGTTTTCCGGTTGACAAACATCAAAAATAAAAGTCTTTGTTTACCTAGAAACGTCAGCATATTCTGAGTGACATCATCCGTTGCAATTCTGGCACCTTAGCCAGAATTCGTCAGGTCGAGAACGAGAATGGAATTCGTTAAAGTACAAACATGCTGTATCTAATTCATCACTACCGTTCTGTTCATACATAGCTTCCTCAGACTATCTTCTTTTATTATTTTATCAATTTTTCTTCTGTTTGCTTTTGCTGTTTTTCTTCTCTCTCTTTCTAATACTTCTCTTTTGATTTCCTTGATTTCTTCTATATCTGGGGTGCTGTTGATAACACCTATCTTTCCACGGTTTCTTTATTCTTTGTTATTATTTTTACCTTCGGAAGAGGGGACAGTTCTTCAATTTGCTCTCTGCGTATGTAATGTTTGGATGTGTTTAGAATTTTTTCATTTGTATTTCCCCGGAAAGTATGTAAGAAGGTTTTAATGGGAATATTGCTAAAATGCTGTCTTACATTTAAGATAGGATCCTCGATTTCATTGTGCGGTTCTTCTTTGCTATTTGAATTTGTGAGTTGTAATGTATTATATATGTTTTCCAACACCTTATCTATTGTTGAAGCAGCAGAAAGTTCCCATTCTTCAAAAACATCTGAACTAAATGGATGTATTCCCGTTTTTTTAAAGAACTTATTGCATTTGATGGAGTTGCCTTTAGATATGCTTTATTAAAACGATTTGTCACTTGGAATTGAGTGACAGTCCGTTCTGGGTTATCTCTCATCCACTTTTATATTTTCATGTTATAAATAGTTTGTAGCGGTGCAAAATAACCAACATCAAAGTATTGGACGCGATAGGAACAATAGGAACAGTGTGACAAGACAAAATAGAATAATTCCATTTTCCTTACTGTTCCAGTACTTCCAACCCCTTGTTACTACTATGTTCATCAAAAATTAATAGTATTTCATGAAAGCGGAAGGAACAAATATTTCTATGGCGTTCATACTACACACAGCTGTATAACTTTGTCCACGTTCAGCGCTACTAATAATTCTAATATTTGTTTCCTTCCTTTGGTTGCACGATTTTTGGGAGTCATTGAAGGGACTGTGTAATACCAGTCTCGTCTACATTGTATATATTTTCAGGAGAAAACTGATTTTTCCATAACTTCTCCAATAGAACTGAAAAACATCCTAATGTTCTCTTTATTGCTCTCTCCCCTGGGTTAAACAAGTAATATGTTTGTGAAAAATTATTGTACAGACGCTAAAGCCTGATTTATCATCATGTGTGGCTACTAAGAGACTACAGAGGGCCATGGTCTTACGTTCAGGTTTGAAGGTTTTAAAATGTTACATGATTTAGAGGCCAGCCAAATGCATAACGCCTTAAATCGATCGAGCCTTTTCATCAAAAATGATTACATTCTTGTTTGTTTTGTTCAAAGGTGATGGCGAGTCTGGTCATTACATTATACATACATTTTGCATTTTTCACTTCAGTTGACCATGTTTTTCGATCCTTTGTTAGCTTTATCCAATAGCTCGTCTCCTAATAATTATTGTATTTGAATCTTGATTAAGGACATTCATTCATCTCTTTCTTGGCATTTTTCCACCAATCTCTTTTGTCGGTAAATTGTTTCACATGTGAGCATGTGCTAAGAGGCATTATATCATCAGCGTAATCTAGATTTTCAATCTGTTTTTTAATCCTCAATAAATTCCCCTATTAGATTTTATTTTTGTTATTTAGGTGGATATTTAGTCCAGTACAATGTTTTATCTCCGCAAGGGAGATCAAACACAGCCTATTGAATCACATGTTATGCTGTTGTGTATTACTGTGCTTTTTGTATCACTGTAGAGTTACTTAATAAGATTTATTATTTTTGAAGGTGTTCCCATTTCCTGTAGTTCTTTCTTTATGACCATATGAGTGAGCCTGTCGAAGGTTCCCTTGAAGTTCACCAAGCATATGAAGAGTGGAGAGTTGAATTATCCTGAACTATCCTACGATTACTATGTGTTAATTTGGTCTATGCATGTTTGGTTTGGTCTGAAGCTGGCTTGTTCCTTCCTTAACATTAGTTCCACACCATATCGGTACCACTGTCAATCAGTTGTTTATAATTATTGCTGGTAATTTATTTATGGTATTGATAAAGTTGTGTTTTATAAAGTCAAGTGTGACCCTTTTTAGTATCTGTATTAAAGTCCAGTTTTCAATGATTTAGGAAACTTTTCCTCTCTTCTGTCCCTTCGAAGAATGGTATGAATCTCTATGGCAGTCCCAGATTATTATATCTAGGACCTAATAGTCTTAAAAATACAAACATTGTACAAAGTAGAAATTTTGAAGAGTATAACTTTTTCCTTTTTAGTTCTCCCGAAGAATGATTTACAAATATTTAAATTATATTTTATATGATGTATGTTCATTGACTAAAATTTTTTGTATTTCCAGTAATCGCCCATGACGATGACCAAGGCAATAACGGGGAAGTTCGTTATAATTTCGCTTCGGACATAGGAGACACGGCAAATTTATTCGCAATAGACAGCCATACGGGATGGATAAGCGTTATAGCCAAGCTGGACAAAGAAGTAAAATCTGAATACAAATTTTTCGTAACAGCGACTGATAATGGTTCTCCCAAACACTCTGCGAGAACGACTGTTTTAATACGACTTAAAGATTATAACGACAGTCCGACCACTTTCAGAGAAAGTTTCTACAATAGCAGTGTTGATGAAGATTCACTGCCCGGAACTGTCGTGCTGACTTTGGAAACTAACGACGCTGATATTGATTTATCCACTCCCGTTGATTACTACATTGTTTCTGGAGATCCTAGTTCGAATTTTCAGGTGAAACAAACTGGAGAGATATACGTTGCGAAACTTTTAGATCGGGAGCAAATTAGCGCGTATACTTTGGAAGTTGTTGTTACTGATGGTCTGTTTACCGATAAAACAAGAATTGAGGTCAACATTGGAGATGTTAATGGTAAGTTCTAATCTAAAATTGAAATTTAAATTAGTTGAGATTCATTATCATCATTGTGTTTTATCTTATATGTTACTTCTACTGTCATAACATTATTCATCCGCTTCACATCCACTCTAGACTCCTAACCAACATCATGTTTGTTTTTGTTGATATCTCTATGTTCATATATGCAATATATTCAATTACAACTAAAACATATTAATTGATTATTAATATTTTAGATAATCCACCATACTGTTTAAAACATCGTTACAAGGAAATTCTCTCTGAGGGCATTTTCCCGGGGTCCTACGTCCTCACAGTGCTAGCCACAGATCTCGACGGACCTGAACATTCAAAATTGCGATACGTTCTAACTGGAAACGGATCAGAAATTTTCTCTTTAGATAAAGAAACTGGTATTTTGAAAACTGTGGCATATCTAGACCGAGAAAAGCAATCTAAATATATTCTTACAGCCCATATCCATGACAAAGAAGTAGCTGTTTGGGAATGCTCTTCTCAGATAGAACTGACTATTTCTGATCTAAATGACAATGCTCCATTGTTTTCTCTACCGTATTACTCGATAACTTTGCCGGAGGATGTCGAAATCGGTACATTAGTGACCAAAATTCACGCCTCCGATGCTGATGTCGGAATGAACAGGAAAGTGAAATATTCGTTTCTGGACTCTTTCCACGATCATTTTAGAGTTGAACCTGACAGCGGCATAGTAACGTTATCTAAACCTTTAGATAGAGAAATTAAAGCTATGTATAATCTAACTGTTCAAGCTACAGATCAAGGCGCTCCTCAGCTGTCTAGTACAGTTCATCTCATTGTTAACGTTCAAGACATTAACGATAATCCTCCAGAATTTGAAACAAAGTATTACTTTGCCACAGTACCAGAAATCGACAGTATTGGTACCGAAGTAGTAAGAGTACTGGCTACATCAAAAGATATTGGAGCCAATGCTGAAGTTTATTACTCGATTATTGGTGGTAATGAGCACAAAAAGTTTGCTGTACACAACAAAACGGGAGTTATTACTATAGCCGACATTTTAGATTTCGAAAGAGCTAGAGATTACTTCTTAACGATTCAAGCCATAGATGGAGGAATTCCACCGTTGAGTAATGTTGCTACTGTAAATATCACTGTAATAGACTGTAATGACAATGCTCCTGTCTTCAATCAAGCTTCATACAGTGCAAGAATTAGGGAAGATGCTCAAATTGGCGATAAGATCTTACAAGTAAGTAAAGTTAAATAGTAATTAATTGAAGTTAAGTTTAAAAATATGTATATCTGCCAGAAATTTGACTTATAAAAATATGAAAACTGAAAGTAGCAATAGTGTCAAGCTGATATAACTGTACCAATAATTTTTTTAGAAAAAAGAAATCAATTCCAGCCATTATCTTTACAGTATGTAGGATGAAAATCACAGATACAAGTAAAAAGCTTTTAAAACTAAAGCATAAACTAAATTGAACGCGCTATAAACAAGATTTTTTACGACAATTGTAATATACCGTTCAAGTTAAATGGTTATATTTATTATTTTTAGGTTGTGGCTACGGATCTGGACAGTGACAAAAACGGAGAAGTAACATATTCCATAATAAAAGGAAACAACCAAGGGCAGTTCGATATTGACGAAAAATCCGGATACGTTTTCGTCGCATCAGAACTCGATAGAGAAACTGTCTCCAGCTACGTCTTGGAAATATTGGCCAAAGATAATGGTTTACCAGTTTTGTCCCGACAGACATTGCTCAATATTGAAATTTCCGATGCCAACGATAATCCTCCGTTGTTTTCTCAAGCAAACTATAGTGTTATTGTACAGGTGAGTTATACTTTTGTTTGTAAATCTTCATATCCAACTGCAGAGATATTGGCTGTCTTGTTACAACCCATTATTCGAGAAAATTGGAATATTGGATAAAATTGGAATATTGGAGAAAACTTTCAAAGAACAGTAATAATTCAGTAACCGAAATAAATAGGCTGCATATAAATATCGAAACAAAAGTCACTAAACCATAATATTAAGATTTGCGAATTCAGCAACGAATATTATGCTAAGATATCTGCATCTTTTGAACTTATATATTCCTTATTGTTGATTTTCTGACATTCTTTCTTATTTTAACTCTTTGAAAAATAGGTGTATTGATTATAATGTGACTTGAATTCAGTATTTGTAACGTTATTGAGTATATTTCCATTTCCAATGTAGTCAAGGCGCACTTTAAACTTACTTTAATAGTTTACTACCATACTACATACTAAAACAAGTAAAAACTGCAAGAGTTCTTTAATTAAATCGAGTTATGACATAGATCACCTGGCTAACTCTCTTCTTCTTTCTTTCTGTCAACTTGACTTCCCGCGCTGATGTTCTCTCGTTCAGCAACACGGTCAAGCAATGTGTGGCAGACGGTTCCTTGTGAATCCATCGCAAGTATTGCATATTCTAGATCAGGGGTCACCAAATGGCGGACGGCGGTCCGCATCCGGACCGTGAGCTTGTTTTTTGCGTACCGCCATTAAATTCAAAATATAGCAATAAAATTATAGTGTAAAATGATAATCAAATCTAAATATATAAATATCTGTACATTTTTAAAATGAACAGTGCTAATACTATATAGAAATAGTCGTAATTTAAACAATTATGTTTCGACTAAACGGTTTTCCAAAATTTCAGGTAGTACCTACCTAAAATAGTCTTTTAGCAAACTACAATAAGGAAACTGTCAAAACAAAATGTTGTGCAACTGTTAGGCAACAGTTTTCACTCAAACCTAATGGTGTATGGACCAGCGAAACAGCAGACGTTTTTAAGAGTAATGATCGAGTATCAGGAAGATTCCGCTTTAAAGGAGGTTTATACTCAAGCTCCGGAAATGCTTGCTTGAACTAAAATCTTTAGCAATAAAATTGTAACGGGGATGGTCCCCTGAGGGGGAGGTTACAATTACCGGAGGGTTTCTGCGTAACCAGCGGTTACTGTAGTAGGTTTTCGAAATGGACCCTCAGGGAATATAATTGGTGACCCCTGTTCTAGATAGTTATTTTTGCGCTAAAAAGGTAGCCAGACACGTAACAGTTGACATTATATATTGACTTATAATTATATCTATCTCTACTAAAAGTAGTTTAAAGTCTTATTTTAAATATAAAATCACGAACCTGTATTTAAATCAGTTTTCTAACTTATTCTTATTTTAGGAGGATAAGCCACTAGGATATTCGATTCTAAAATTCGAAGTTACCGATGATGACACTGTACCCAACACAGTTCCGTACACATTTGACTTCCGTAGCGGAAACGAAGGTAACAGCTTCAGACTCGATCAAGATGGTGTCTTGAGAACAGCAACAAAATTCAATCACAAAATAAGAGACACCTATCTGCTGCAGATACGAGTTTTCGACAATGGTAGTCCGCCTCTGTTTTCGGATACCTGGGTGGTTGTGAAAGTAATCGAAGAATCGCAGTATCCTCCAGTGATCACTCCTCTTGAGATCAATATTAACAGTTACCTGGATGAGTACCCTGGTGGGATTATTGGTCGAGTTCACGCGAATGATCAGGATCAGTATGATACTTTAACATTTTCGTTATCTCCTACTCTTGGTATTTCGTATCCTACCCACGAATTGTTTAGAATAAATAAGACTGATGGCACTCTATCAGCTTTACCAAGACTAGACGTAGGGGACTATCGGTTAAACGTCACAGTTACCGATGGAAAGTTCTTTACACATGCAGTAATCAAGATCAATATTGAAATATTATCCGAAAGAATGCTAGAAAATGCTGTCGGAATCAGATTTAGAGAAGTACGACCAGAAACGTTTATATTAAGTCACCGAAAAGGTTTTGTAAGAGCTATTAGAAACGCTTTGAACTGCAGGTTGAAGGATGTTATCATACTAAGCGTTCAACCCTCATCTAACGACGATATAATTAGAGTAAAACGATACAGTAACAAAGATTTGGATGTTCTTTTTACCGTTCACAAACCAGATGAAGGTTATTTTTCACCTGAGACAATAAAGAAAGCTCTGAACGACAACTTACAAGAACTTGAAGAAAGTACCAAGTTAGTTGTAGAAGAAATTGTAAGGTTTAAGTGTTCAAATAAATACTGTATATACGGCGTTTGTCAAGACCACTATGTATTAGACACCGCTTCGATAGACCCTATTTGTACAGACGTTACGAGTTTTGTGTCTCCCAAACATGAACAAAAGATGGAATGTATATGTAAAGAAGGCTACGGCGGGGATAAATGTGATGCTATAGTAAATGAATGTGCCAGACAACCCTGCGAGCCTTTCAAGCTTTGTGTTCCCGATGCTTCGCAGGTCGGTTATTCATGTCAATGCCCAGAAGGATACGCTGGCACTATGTGTGATATCGACATTTCCAAATGTCATGAAAACAACTGTTACATCGCTCGAAATCCCATATCGTTCAGTGGAAAAAGCTACTCACAGTACAGAATTATCAATAAGAAGTCTATCGAAGATAAGTTTAGTTTGAGTCTGAGAATACGCACTGTACAGCCTACTGGTAACCTCCTCTATGCTTCTGGAAAAATAGATTACAATATTTTAGAAGTAAGTACATATTTTTATGCACATCATTTATCAATGTTTTCGTTCTGTCAGTTTAATTTAACATTTACTCTATTATTTCTATAATATTAGTTTTTTAGCATGTATTACCTATAACATGAAAATGTTCCTATACGTTCTTTTAATTCCGTAGATCGTCAATGGTAGGATCCAATTCCGTTATGAATTAGGTAGCGGAGAAGGCATCGTCAGAATTCCCAATGTCTTCATTTCAGACGGAAGCTGGCACGAAGTGAAACTCGAACGAGATAGAAACAACGCAAAAATCATCATCGACGGCATTCACAACGCTCAAGGTTCGGCACCCGGAGTCAGCGAAATTCTCAACCTCCAAAGCGATGAGTTGTACCTTGGAGCAGAAGTTCACCAACATCCCACAGTTCTGGGCTTCGAAGATATCCAAAAAGGGTTCATAGGGTGTATGGATGATATCAGACTATCCCGTGTTTCAGTGCCTTTACATAAATCCGGGGAAAATTCTGTGGTTGTGTTAAAACGCTTCGCGAACGTGGAGTTTAGTTGCGATACTGCCACGATCTTAATCCCACCCGGGCCTTGTGGATCCCAACCGTGCATGAACGGCGGTACTTGCAAGGAAAATAAGAACGGATACGAATGTTCTTGCCACTCTAGATTCACCGGGACTCTCTGTGAAAGAGACACGGATCCATGTGCATCTTCGCCTTGTCTCTTCGGGGGAAAGTGCACACCAACAGTGACCGGAGACTTTACTTGTGAATGCGTGTATATGCTGAGCGGAAAGAGATGCGAATATGGCAGATATTGTGCCCCTAATCCTTGCAAACACGGCGGAGTGTGCGAGGAAGGAGACGACGGTCCGCTTTGCAAATGCAGGGCATTTGCAGGAGAATTTTGTGAGTTCGATTTGAATGAATGTGAGTCATCGCCGTGTCAGAATAGCGGATCTTGCATTAACGAATTCGGATCCTTTCACTGCGCTTGTCCTCCGAATGTTACAGGTCCTTACTGCGCGAACGTCATCTATAACACACCGTTTTCTACTGCATTCTACAACTTTACTTATAAGGAGCTCGCCTTCCTCGGTATCGGATTCGTAGTTATTTTATTAATAGCGATAATTATCATAGTGGTATGTTGTAAATACTTCTGTAAATGTAAGAAGAAGCGCAACATGAATAACGAAAATCTTAAGGACAATATAGTTCTTAACTCGAATAGAGCACACGAGCTGTCTGAGTTTAAACGCGGTTCCAAAATTAGCAACCTAGAAGTTAATCAAAGAGAACCGGCTTGCCCGCCCCGACCAGTGTCTTATACCCCAAGCTCGCAAAACGATCCCATCTACAATAGTAATGCAGCTACAGTGATGCTTAACAACCTAGACACGCTGCGCAGCTACGGTTCCGCCGGAGATGAGCTCGAAAACGTTCCTTCCGACTACGTCAGACCGGACTACGTCAAAAACTTGAACCGGAACACCCCTCCAGGTTGCGTGAGCAACCACTACGATTCGGAAAAGTCTACATTCGCCGAGCAGATGCATTTAGCTTCCTCTTTAACTGACAGATCAAAGATCAAAAAGGGCACCAATATTCCCGACTACATTCGGGTGGCAGCTACGAATAACTGTGATAATATAACAAGACTGTACGGAGGCAGAAGCAACGGCACAAGTAACATTAAGAGCAACGGTTCAGTCAGCGGGGACGATCAACGGAACACTGGAAGTAAGTTTTATGTTGTTGTTCATTGTTTAGTATACAACTATAAATTTATTTAGAAGAAATATTAAAAAAAGTAGTAAAATTAGTTATCTGAGTTCAAATATTTTTCTAGCAGCTATCTAGTTCGTATTTTTTGTCGCATATTCTCGTTCAGATCATAATTGTGATGCATTGTATCTTTTTCATTATGTTTATCGTTGTGGATCATAGATCTCTTTAGCGTTTCTGTCACAGTACTTAATGTCGCACTGAGAGTTCTATTACTGTTAATCAGTATAGCCATGTAAACATGACTGTGTTATGTTCTGCGCCTTGTTTAATTACGTATTGTATGTTTTCTGTATTTATATATCCTGCGAAAAGGTATCAAAACATTGGAAGATTTCATGCAATTAACTCCGCTTTTAAAATGGAAAAGAGAAACAAGGATATGTAATTATTAGAGTATTATCATTGCAACGTCTATTAGAAAGCTGTACGAAAAAAATTTGAAATCATTAAAGAACATAAAAAACTCAAAAAAAAATGTAAGCGGAAGGAATACATAACCTTAATAGGTCTTCATAAAGCCTTTCAATTCATATCATCGCAAAAATTAGAGAATGTAATAAAAGAAGCATTCACCAATATCGTATAAGCAAACACTAAAAGTTCTTTGTAAAGAAAACTAAGCTAACTACGGTAGTTAAAGTTGGAAACAAAAATTGTGTGGACTATAATCTGTGAGAATATAGTTAGAGAACTCTACCATATACACAATCCATTTGGCGCATGATCAGACCAAAAATACACAAGAGCTTCAGTGCCCAATCTTGTCGAAAACATAATATGAATACTCCAGTCGTCGAGACGAAAATGCCACTCAACCTCTAAAAACCATACGAACAAGCTGAATTTTGCCGATAATATTAATTTTGGGACCCCAAAAAAGATGCAAAAAAGTTTACCACTTTTACCCCCGGACTTCTCCCTAAAACTCACCTCGTAGGGGGGTAAAAACGCAAAAAAATCGATTTACCAAGATTCTGTATGCCGTAGAAAAAAAAGTATTTCAAATAAAAAATGTAGCTGAGATAATTTTAAACAAAAATGTTAATTAGCACTTTTTGTGTAGAATGAACCGTTCTCTCAGAAACAACGCTTGAAGCGACCATCGGTTTTGAATGTGTCAAGTGCGCTAATCAATGTTCAATAAAATTTGTATCAGCACGACGGTAAAAATTAAATATCTTTTGATCCAAGTGTCCTATCCACAAAAATCAAGATGCGTTTTAAAGATAAAGAGCTCAGCTTTGGTATGTTTTTGTTGTATTTTGCCGTTAATAAATTTAGCTTTTATAAAGGTGTTAAATAAATAAACGTTGTGCGATTTTTGCCGTTTTTTATGATTCTCATGAAATTATATAAACCATAAAATTTTGATTACTAGAGCCTAACTTTTAAAATCTATGGCATGAAATTTTATTTTTAGTTAATGTCAGGTATTTGAAATATGTTAAAAAAACGTTGGATATAAAATTTTACAGAATAAACAATCTAAAACATTTTAAACTTTTTTTTTTAATTAAACTAGTCCGTTTTTCAAAAGAAACTACACGTAAAACCTTCTTCTTTGAGGCATTTTTCGTAACGTACGATTGTTTGAAATCTAAAGTATAAAATATACATTAAATTCTACGTTTTGTATTCATATTTCAAATGCCTCATCTTTGTTGCCACCTTTGATGTCAACTTCAAATTGAAATTTCATGTCATTATGTTTTAAAGATTGATCTCTAAAAATGGAAATTTTACTACGACTGGTCAATGTAAGTGATCAATTTTATTGATCTCACGAGAATCGTAAAAAATGGTAAAAATAGCGCAACGTTTATTTATTTCCATCATGTCCATCTCGACAACTCTTTCTGGGTCCTGGCTTGTTCTAGGATTTTCCACCATTCTGTTATGTTCCTTGCTTATGTTATGTTGGTAATCTTAAGTACTTTCAGATCTTGTTCCACTTGTTCCATGTATCTAAGTTTGGATCTTCCCTTTGATCTTCTCCCTACTGGTGTTTGCCTCATTATATGTTTCGGTGTTTCAGTCTCCAACATCCGTTTAACATGGCCCATCTAGCGCAGACGTCTGATCTTTATGGATGTTACGACCTCGAGTTCATTGTATGCTGTGTATAGTTCAAAGTTATATCTTCTGCGCCATATGTCATTTTCCTTCACCTTCTTATATACGAGTATAAGGATTTTTTGTTCAAAGTTCCATATTTAAGGACCGGTTTTATCAGGGTATTGTACATTTTGTATTTGGTTATTCTTTCGATGTTATAGTGTCCTATTGTCAGATTCTCTAGGTTTCTTTGGCCTGTTGATTTATTGGCCTTCCTATATTTGGTTTTTATTTCGTTAGGCCTTTAGAAACCATATTGCCTTCATATGTTTAGGCCACCGTTTTATGCACAGTGTGTATGTACACATAAGTGTACAACATATTTGTACACTTTTTGTTATTATTGTTCCTCTGCTGTTGACTTTTGACTCTCTAATTATTTTCTCTAATGTGATGTTGAATAGAATACAGGATAGGGCATCCCCCTGTCGTAGGCCCGTTCTCACATGGACTGTATCTGTTAGTGCGTTTTGAATTCGAATTTGGGTTTGTACTTTCTATAGTGTTTCTTTTACTATATCAATGAGTTGAGCTGGAATATTAAACTCTTTCAGAGCACGGATCAGAAATTCTCGATGGATGCTATCATAGGCACGCTCATCAATGAAAAGATTATGTGTGTCTATATTAAATTCACTAGTCTTTTCCAAGATTTGTCTCAAGATGAAGATCTGATCTATTGTGGACTTCTGACAACTATTTGTGCCGCATATGGTCTCAATCGGTTATACACAATATTTGACAGTATTTTATATGCCACAGTTAGTAGCGTTATTGCCCGGTAGTTTTTACATTGAAGCTGATCTCCCTTTTTATGTAGTGGGATAATTACTCCGGTATTCCAGTCTTGTGGCAGTTGTTTATTATTTCATATGTTCACTATTAGTTCGTGTATCGCATTCAATAGAGAGTCTCCACCTTCCTTTATTAATTTTGCGCTAATGTTGTCTAGTCCAGGTGACTAGTTGTTTTTCAGTCTGGTAACTCATTTTTGCTTTTCAGCTACTGAAGGGGGGTTGTTTCTCTGGTATCCGTTTGATCTAGTATAAATCCATCATATAGTGGATCTTCGTTTTTTTAAACTTTTCTTTGAATAATTCTGTCCATCTTTGTAATATTTCACTCTATTGAGTTACTATATCTCCTTCTTTGTCTCTGCACATCATTGTTCTTAGTTTACATTCTTTTTTACTTTTGTTTTTGGTGGAATTTTCTGGTTTCTGATCGTTTATTTAGTTCTTCCATTTCTTGGAGTTCTTTTTCTATGTGTTCTAGTTTAATTAAAAAAAAAGTTTTAAATGTTTTAGATTGTTTCTTCTGTAAAATTTTATATCCGTTTTTTAAGCATATTTCAAATACCTGACATTAACTAAAAATAAAATTTCATGCCATAGGTTTTGAAAGTTAGGCTCTAGTAATCAAAATTTTATGGTTTATGTAATTTCATGAGAATCATAAAAAACGGCAAAAATCGCGCAACGTTTATTTATTTAACACCTTTATAAAAGCTAAATTTATTAATGGCAAAATACAAAAAAACATACGAAAGCTGCGCTCTTTATCTTTAAAACGCATCTTGATTTTTGTGGATAGTACACTTGGATCAAAAGATATTGAATTTTTACCGTCGTGCTGATACAAATTTTATTGAACATTGATTAGCGCACGTGACACATTCAAAATCGACGGTCGCTTCAGGCGTTCCTTCTGAGAGAACGGTTTATTCTACACAAAAAGTGCTAATAAACATATTTGTTTAGAATTATCTTAGCTACATTTTTCATTTGAAACATTTTTTTCTATTCGGAGTACAGATTCAGGGCAAATCGATTTTTATGTGTTTTACCCCCTTACGAGAAGTGTTTTAGGGGGAAGCCCAGGGGTAAAAGTGGTAAACTTGTTTGCAACTTTTTTGGGGTCGCAAAATTAATATTCTCGGCAAAATCCAGCTTGTTTGTATGATTTTTAGGGATCAACTCTCTGACGACTGGGCTAGAACTTCTCCGCGTATATCCATTTTCAATTTTGAACTTCATGCATGATCTTGAAGAAGAACCAACCACCGAAAGTGCGACACAAAAACAAACTATTCGCGTACAATCTTATATTTTGTTAATTGAAGAAAATATTTATTTTTTTAATATTTCTCCTAAATATTCTGTTACTATAAATCTCTCTGTATATACCATTTTAACGTTACCAATGCTACACGAGCATACATAGTGTATATTCACTTTAGAAGCATTAAAAAATATGTAACACATTATTTTACATTGAAAGCATGTCGTCTAAAGCATATAAAAAGCCTTTGATGGGATTCGATTAAATTCTATCGTTAATTTTTAACTACGTTATTAACCACGTAGTTACTTCCGTGCAGAGTTTATCAACTCCGAGGGGTTTATGTGGTAGTTAATTTTAAACTTTTGTTTAACGTTCGATGCTGGATTTTAAAGAAGGGCTGAACATTTTCTCCCATTTTGTAACATCGTAAAATATAAACCACGAAAGATATTCCGTTTTTTTTTATTTCTGTATTCTCGTTTTTATATTTATAGACCTAATTTTACTACAAAGGCCATAAAAATATATAAAGTAACAAAATATAATTGAGTGTCAAAATTACCTGGCTTTAGGTTACTACTTTATTTCATTAAACACATTTTGATCTTATGTAAAAAAGCTTCTTGACGTACTTATACGTTATCTAGGTACGGCTTTTAATTGTGCTCGGAGCAGAATGTATCCAGCAAAAGCGAAATAAATGATCATAAAAAGAAATTTAACTTTATTCGCGAATTAAACTAAATAGATTAAATTTTTACACTAAGAAACTGGATTGAGATTTACGAATATCAAAAGCCAAAATAATACGTTGCACATCTTCTTC